TTCATTATCTCCATATTGCATTGTAATTTAATATGAATCTTAACATTGGATGAACAATTGGGAATTTTCAAATAAACTTTACAGATTGAGAGAAAAAGAAAGCGAAAGCTTTAGAAATGATTGATTGATTGTATGCTGTTTAACGTCCCATTCGAGAATTTTTCACTCATATAGAGACAACACGTATGCCGGTGAAGAGCTTCGAATTAAGACCTATACTCGGCACTCAGTGCCATTGAGCAGTGAGGGTTCTTTATCATGCCAACGCCTACCGTGACACGGGACTTCGGTTTTTAAGGTCTCATCCGAAAGACCCAGGACTTTCACTTCTAGTGCCAGGCGCTTGGGAAGGAACAGTCACTACCTATGTTTACGTCTTAGGTTTGACGCGGCGCGGCGAACAAGAATCGAACCCGGGCCTCCCGATCACGAAGCGAGCGCCCTACCACTAGGCTACCGTGACCGGTAGTTTTAGAAATGATTCATTAATTTAATATTTTAATAAAAAACATAGTTTTGTTTTATTTATTTCAAGAATTTTATTATTATAAAGAAGTGTTTTATAACAGTGGGACGGACAACTTCGGAATGGACATTTTTCCGAATTTGTGCACCCTTTTCCTTTTAAGCCATCATCTTGCGATTTTTTAAATGGTGGGGGTTTTACACTTAAATTGATTCATGAAATAAAAACTTCAACATTTTCTCCTAGTTTTTGAGATATTAAGTGGCAAAGATAAAAATCCCATGGGGAAACATGTACTTAAAATAACCCCTTGAAGAACCCCATAAAAACCCCATGGGGTTTAAAATTTTCCCCATGGGGAAAATAAAACCATTTGACCTTTTGTGGGGGTTTTTAAAACCCATATATGACTAATGTCTAAACTTTACATGTGTTTTTCCCCCACATTTTTGTTGCATAGGGTAAAAAAGAAAAAAAAAATGTAAAGTTCCTCTTCCTTTGGATCAAAAACTAAAGATTTTGATCCCTACTATCTGTTATAAATTGTAACACATGTAATATCTTTGTTTTGAGATATTATAAGGGAATACAAATACTGTTTATAAATTAATTCATAAATTATGTCCCACCCCTGGATCCCCCACTCATAAGAATAAACCCTTGGGCCCACCACTAACACAATTCTTTGAATCTATATTATATAGATAGATTCTATATATGACTCATTCATATAAAGAATAAATTTCCTTATCTCCCAAGCAGAAGAGTTACATTGCTATGTTTTGATATTTCTTTCATATCTCAGTTTTTTTTTTTTTTAAATTGATAAATTATTTAACACTCCCATTGGATCCCTATATAACTCATTCATGTTAAGCTTAAAGTTAAATAATTAAATATCATTTTCTTGAAATTAAAACTTATATTATCAGATAAAGCTACGTTCCTCTCCCTTTCAATCAACAGTCTGAACTTTAGACATAAAAAATGTTTCCCAAATGTTAGGACAAATGTTAATAGTTTAAAGTCTAAAATTAAAAGATTGTACAGCTAAAGCTAAATATTGTATAATGAATCTCATTCCCTGTGGATAATCAAATACATGTGACTTTATTTAAATCATGTATGCACCTTCATCTCATTGCCAGCTTATTCTTACCTGTCTTGTATTCAACCAATATGATATTTTTATACCCCCATACTGAGAATTTGAGAGTTAACATATATTGGTTTACATGAACAGTTCTTGGGACTTCAGAGGGGTCTTACTTTTTCAAACAGTTAAAATTTTAAAATTATATAGATATTGTTTTACTAAATTTTATTCATTCAAAATATGTAAAAAGAAATGATAAACTGACAATACGTCAAGTATTTTGATTTTGTTTTTGTCTTGGATTTAATGTTTTTATATGTAGAGGTAATTTTTGTATTACCTGTTTGTATTTTTATATAAATTAAAATGTAGTTATTCGCCAAATGTATGTTATACCGGTTAATGATTTTTAGATGTCTTTTGTTGTAGATCTTTAGCATCATAATGATATATTAGTAAAAAGCTTTAATACATTCAGCATTTCCCCTGATTATTTATTTATTTGTTTATTTTGAATTTAATGTCTGGTAAGTCTGTAAAATCAAATTCTACACAACCTGCTTTTTTCGTTGTTTTATGATCATAAAAAAAATGTTTAGAAAAAAACTTCCATGTAGCCAAAGATTGAGAAAATAACCTCTCAAAATGGGATATGTAAATATGAATTATGGTAGCATTTTTGTATGGTTTGTAAATTTGTATATATAATTAATTTATTTATATAAATGTAAAAAGACTTCCTGGCGAGAGTTGAGTACTTAGTATTAAGGTCGTTTAATGCAATCGCAAATCAAACGCATTTAATTGATTTCCGAAAAACACAGGGGGTAGGTCTTTTTGACCCTTTCCCCCAATTGCCGCGAGTATAAAAGAGGGGCGCACGTGGTAAATTCCTCCTCTTACTCAATAGCTACTCCAGCGTCTGCGCTTGTAATAATTGTTGAATTACTTAAAGCCTCCTTGAACGGTTACATCAAACAACCTTAACCATGCCACCCATAAGATCAAAGAAATCCCAGTCCAGTGCCAATTCTACCAGGGCAAGTAATAGGAACAGAGGAGCCAGACAGCAGAAGGGCAGAGGGGGAGAAGAAATTTAGCTGTTGTCCGCCAAGCCCAGACTGACACCATGACAGATTCCCAGGTCAGGGAGGAAGCCATTTCAGCCTCCATGGGAATGGCCGAGGAGCCTGAACATGAGCTGCTCGTTAATAAGGGTAGGCAGTTAGATTTCACTAGTTATTGGCCTGCCCCGGAGGAAGCTGCCGTGACATCGGCAGATAATTTCGGGGCGATACCAAACATAGAGGTTTGCGCTGGGGACGATATAGATGCCCAGGTGCCACTTTCCTTAAAACAAAAAATTTGGGCTGGGAATTATATCAATTTAGCCCTGTTGACAAGGGGCAGTGCAGAACTGCAGCAGTTTGCTGCTGGGAGTAATTTTGTATTGAATGAAAAGGGTGAGCTTGAGGCTAAGCCTTAAACGAAAAAATTACAACCATCGATAGATGGACAGATGCATTTCTTTTATTTTTGCATATTTACATTCAAAGACATCCAGGGAGGGCAGCCGAATTGGTGCAGTATATGTTTGTTATTCGCGATGCGGCGCGAGGAAATTTCCTGGCATGGGCTGGAGAAATTATGACGAGCAATTTAGAGTGCGTCAAGCAATTTCTTACCGAAAATGGTCAAAATCGAATTTGGATATATCAATTTAAGTGTGTGGCACCCAATGATTATTAAATGCTTGTTCTGACATTTGTCATTGAAACAATTATTAAATCTGCGGCCTTTTATCTTCCAAAAACATGTTTTGTTATTTTCTCGGAAAAATATTCTATTAAATGCTTGAGGAATTCATTTAAATGCATTGTTTAACGAATCAGGTTGAAATCATGGGAAGAAGACATGTTGACAGTTAGATTTAGAGCAATGCCTTTTAAGACAATATTTAGCATTTTTACTTGAAGCAAATAACTTGGAGTATATTTGATAGTCATAATTTTTAGTTTTTTTTTTAAGGAAATATTTTATATCTACAAGAATTTTACTCTAAAGTCAGTTATATCAAAGGGTTGAAAATTTAACAATTTATGAATTTTAAGAATTTGGTAAGCGGAAACTTTGATGGTTTAAAGTTCTTTATAGTGTTTTTTTAAAAGGATTAGAAAATTGACAAGTGGAAACTTTGATCATTATTAATCATGGGTGAAAGTTTTCACATTGTTTAAGTTTCCACATTTACAGTAATCTAACGCTAAAAAATATCTTAATATCTTATAAATGATAATAAAGAAAAGAGTATATGTATTACGTGTACATGTAAATAATAGACTGGATTATTCAATATTTTGTCACGAATATGTGACATAAACATACCTTACATTATTCGAAAAAATGACATTAAGTACATAATATACCATAAAACAGAATTTAGATATTTATTTTTTACTTAATCAGCCAGAAAACTGTCATTTCAATCTCAAGAAACTATTTTAGGTTTTAAAATGTCACTCACAGAAAAATAGTGATAATTACAGCAAGAGAGAGCATGATCTCAGTAATTTACCTTCAATATCAATGTGCTGCTGTTTTTGATATTAGTATGGAAGGCTATAAAATGTGCTTTCTAAGCTCTGTAGAGGTTATAATTTATAAAGATTTTAGGGCAGTAAATTACTTATGTCAAACTCACAATACACAAATAGTAAAAAAAAGTATTATATGTGTCAAATTGAAAAATTGATGATTGAATGAATGGTTATAAATGAATTACTAAAAGATTAATTTTTTGAAGTGGTAGTGAGCTCAGAGAATCCAGGTCCCCAGGAATCCAGAATCCAGGTTTTACAAAAAAAAAAAAAAAAAAAAAAAAAAAAAAAAAAAAAAAAAAAAAAAAAAAAAAACTGATGACCAAGACAAAAACTTGAGATGATTTTAAAATGTTGCAGAATTTTAAAATGATTTTTGTTATAAACTGCTTGCATAAAAATATCTTTCTAAATTCTTTTTAGAAAGATGAAACCATTTTCAAACTAAAGTAATATAGAAATGTATTCGCAGAATTACATTTTGGTTGTAGTTCTTGTTTACTTTTTTATTTTTACTTTATTCGTTGTTATACAAGGAATATTGGTAATGTGTCAGATGATTCTAATTTTGGTTAATGTGAAGAATGACTGAATTAGGAATTTGGTTGAATATATACCTGATTATGAGTAAATGTGTCTTACAAAATGTTTTATGAATCTATTTATATTGTTTGTTTCTTTTCTTTCTTTTCTTTTTTTTTTTTTTTTTTGAATTTCGAATATTAAAAAAAAATTGTCACATAACACATTTATATATATATATATATATATATATATATATATATATATATATATATATATATATATATATATATATATATATATATAAACACTAGCGAGTTTTATGAAAAAAAAAGATTATTTGTGATCCAAATAACTTAGCCTTGTACATGAATCAGGAAACACTTATAGAGGGCGAGTAGTCGAATTATTTTACGTTTCATTATTTGACATCAGCAAGCGCAATACACTTCTTATATTTATAAGATTTGTGAGTGACAATTAATATCCCTGACTGTTGGTTTTACAAAAGCATTAAAATTGATTTACCTTACAAACAAACAATTTATAAGAAAATAAAATGAATATATAGTGATGACAGAAGTATAATCTTTAGACTTGTAGTAGTTCTTAATGTGTTAAAGAAGCAATTCTTTGGCTGGCTGCATATATTTCTGCTCTTACTATATAAGAAAGTCACAGTGTCCCTTAAAATGAAAGATAAAAAAGCATGTCTTATATATACGCCTTTTTTTCTAAAGCTTTGTTGATTGTCTGGATGACTTCATCATCACAAGAATTCTTTGCTGCCGTTTTTAGACTTGATGTCTCCACATCCAAAAGTTCTCTATAATTTGTAAGTAAATGTGTAATTAATCTCTTATTTTTGTGTTCACATGCTACTGCTAGCACAGAATATTTCTCTGCTGTTACTGCCTTGAAATCAATTCCTTTTTCGAAAAGGAGGTCAAATAATTTTTCCTCACTTCCGTCTTGTTTTATTTCAACTGCCACATAATGAGCGGCATTCCATCCTCCGTAACCAAATCCTTGCATACCTCGATCATTGGTCGTCACGTTTATCTCATCTATTGTAAATCTACTGCATAAGTATTCACAGATATCGAGGTGTTTGTGAATACAAGAAATATGCAATGCAGTTTTGCCGTCATGAGTTTCCATGCAAAGACTCTGTGGCGAGGATTCTGGGACTAATGTCTTATCTATTAATTTGAGAACATTTAAATTCCCTCCTTTTGAAGCAAAATGCAACGAATTCCAACCATTTTTGTCCACATCAAATATAATTTTCTTGTAATTTTGAGTTATTAGATTACAAACATCATACTGTCCATATTCGCAACAGATATGCAAAACAGATTTCTGACTTCTTGTTTTCGATAATACTATATCCTCATTTTCCTTTAACAGTTCGAAAACATATATGTTTCCAACCCTAGCTGCATAGTGAGCAATGTTCCAATCATTTCTGTCCTTCTCATTATGCATGAACGAATCTTCTTGTATCAATTTTTCACACATTTTATCATTTTTCATCACACAAGCAATGTCTACAATGCGTAAATCATTTTTTGTTTGTTTTATTTTGATACCTTTATCTATTAAATATTGCAGAATGTTAACGTCTCCACTGATCGCGGCAAAATGAGTTGCATTCCACATTTGTTTTGTTTCTGCATTTAATAATTTATCGGAAAGACCTTTCTGGGATAGTAAGAAAGTACAAATTTCAAATCTACCTCTCTTACAGGCAAGATGTAAAATATTGTGCCCCAAGTAGGTTTCATCACAGAAATCAAATCTTCTGTCAGAAGCCATCAGTTTTTCTAAAATTCGTTTGGAACCTCCTTCGGCTGCATAATGCAGAAGAGTGTAACCATACTTATCACGGATTTGCAAGATATCTAATCTTTCTGGTTCTTCTTTAAATTTTGTTATTCTAGTTGCCAGCAAGTATTCAAAGCTTTTATATACCCCATTTAAACAATGACGTCTCAACAGACTCCATAAATCGATGTCTTCAAACTTATGGCCACAAACTTATGGCCACTTTCCAATTCATCAAGAATATTACCTGAAAAGATATATAAAGAAAACATTTCATAACTAAATTTAATCCACCTTCTGCATTATCGTTTTCCTTACTAGGTCTATTGAAAATTTAATGTCATCATTTTCCTTGAATTAATATTTTTTTAGATGTATCGATTCATCAAGTTAATCATGACACATTTTTACGCCCCCGTCGAAGATTGGGGGTGTTAAAGGTTTTGCTTAGTCCCTTCGTCTGTCTGTCTGTCTGTCTGTCTGTTTGTCTATTTGTCCCCAAGAACTTAAACCTTGTCCACTTTTGATTGGTTGAAGCTAGGGCTTTCACATTTCGATTGTATTTCCTGTGATGAGACCATTCTTTGGGTACCAATATATCTGACCTATTGATCTTGACCTTTGAGTTTTACCTATTTTTGAAGAATTTTACAAAACTTTAAACTTGGCTATAACTTTTTAATGGTTGATGCTTGGCTTTCATACTTCACATGTGTATTTCACGTGATAAAACCTTACCTCGGGTAGAAATACTTTTGACCTTGACCTTGGAGGCTTGATATACTCATGAAAATCTTTAATCTTGGTCTAAAGTTTTGAAAGGCTAGAACTAGGGTTTTCATATTTCCCATGTGTAGGATCCTTGTGGCAATATTTTCCCTCGGATACTAAGAATTTTGACCTTTGAGTTTGACCTACTTTCGGAAAAACTTTAACATAGGTCATAATATTTAAACGCTTTGTGCTAGGGCTTTCATATTTCACAGGTGTTTTCCTTGTGATATAACCTTCCTTTGAATACCACCATTCCTGATCTCTTGACCTTGGCCTTTGAGCTTGACTTACATTTAAGAAACTTTTAATCCTCGCCATGCAAAAGGTGCCTTATGGAGGCTTCAGTGTTTCACCGTAATACATCTTATTGTTAGTTTTTGTTGTTGTTCATTACGTTGTTGAATGCAAGTATCTATAAAAACAATACGCGTTTCTTCATTTTTTTTTTTGGTCCCCCGCTTTTGCAAAAGGGTGGGGAGATTAAATCTCATTCAATCTGTCAGTCTATCCGTCTGTCAGTCTGTCACAAAAACTTTAACCTAGGTGATAACTTTTGAATGAGAAAAGATAGGGCTTTCATATATCACAAGTACATTACCTGTAACAAGACCTTTCCAAATATACTATGACTTTTGACCCTTGACCTTCAAGTTTGATATACCAATCAAAAATTCTAAAATTACTTTAACCTTGGTCATACCTTTTAAATGAAAAGAGATAGGGCTTTCATATTTCACATGTATATTACCTGTGACATGAACTTTTCAAAAATACTATAATTTCTGATCCCGACCTACTTTTGAAAATTTTAATATTGGTTATAACTTTTGAAGGAGAGAGGATAGGACATTCTTATTTTGCATATGCATTACACATGTACTTGTGACAAGCCTTTTCCGAACATGCTATGATTTTGAACCTGTGACCTTGGCCTTGAAGTTTAACATAATTTTTCAAAAAGTTTAACATTTATGGTAAATTTTGATTGAACAAAGAAGGGCTTAAAATTTGACAAGTGCATTACCTGTGACAAGAAATTTCCAAAAGTGCTATGATATTTGACCCAATGACCTTTTAGTTTGACCTAATTTTAAAAATTTTTACCTTTGCTGTTAACTTTTGAAGGAGAGAAGATAGGGCGTTCATAATTGACACGTGCAGTGCCTGTGACAAATATACTATGATTTTTAACCCCATAACCTTGACTTTGGAAGTTTTACCTTATTTTCAGAAAGTGACACGTGCATTACCTGTGAAGATTTTCCAAATGTACTATGATTTTTAACTCCATGACCATGACCCAATTTTCAAAAAGTTTTACATTGCTGACAACTTCTGAATAAGAGAAGATGGGACTTTTGTTTTGAAATGTGTATTAGCTGTTTGAAGGGCTTTCCAAGTGCTTTTTGACATCGTGACCTCAACCTTAAAGTTTAATCTACAGTCTTTTTCAATTTTCTTTTATACTGGTAGTAACTTTTGATTGAAAGAAGATAGGGTTTTCATATTTTACATGTACATTACCTATATCAACACGTTTCAGAAAGATGTATTATTTTTACTCATGACCTTGACCTAGAAATTTGTCCTACTTATCAGAAAAGTTTTAAGTTTGCCCATAACGTTTGCTCCAGAAGAGACAACGCTTTCATATTTTTTTCACATTTGCATTACTTATTTCTTGTGAAAACACATTCCGGATTGTGATATAATATTTGGCCTCATGACCTTGATCTCGAAGTTTGATGCAGTTTGAGAAACTTTAATATTTGCCATAAACTTTATTGATTCAATAATATATATCTTTTTGTATAATGGCCATAAAAGACAGGACACACAAACAAGACAGTTACAATATGCCATAAATAATTGCATCCCGACCACTAAGACACCGAAAACGTGGGACCGCAATTCTTTGAGTTTGCTTATTACTCCCAAATATAGTGATTGGAATTCCGGTCTGGTCCATCGCATTTTTATCCTTTCCTGTTACAATAGGAATCTAGACTTAACGAATTATAAAGAACCTAAATAATTCCCTCATTTTGCAACAAAGAAATTTATATATTGAATAAAATTTCTGTTTTTACAGACGTGTTAATTTTACAGTGAAAACTCAGCACTTTTACCTAATGCAACATAAAGGTTTACTGTGACAGGTACGCAAAAAGAACAATTCCTCATAGTACATGTATATTAGAAAATGAAATAATTCGAGACTTTCAACTGTATAATTAGTATTAAACTGCATCAAAATTTTCATTGCATTTATTTTTTTTAGTTACTGATTGCAATGCACTTAACCACATGACGACGTCATGGTATTTAAAATTGACGCATTTTATGTGCAGTCAGTGGCGGATCGTGATTCTTTTTCACTGTGAAAAATGCATTTTTTTAAATTAAACAAAATGAGGATATAGCCTATGCCCTTTGCCATAATCCAATTTGTTTCTGACCTCCATGCATTGCACATTATATTATGTATTTATTGCGTGATTGTCAAATCAGGTGACCAAGCTGCACTATATAGTTGGGTTATTTCGATTAATATTTGATTCACGTGGTAATATAATATAGCTTTTCAAAATTGAATTCGGTTTAATAAGATATCTATATTCTGTTGATTTCTTCATAATACGCCTATCTTACCAGTGCTGCGAATAATAAATTTGCTGGAAAAACCCTCTGTCCCTTCACGAAGAGTGATAAAGAAAATACCCACCATCAATGGCAAGAGCGAGTTACATGTAACCTTCTTGACACTAACTTAAAATGCCAAAGTTTCTAAAAATTGTTGTTAAAATCCATGTTTAAAATTTTCAATCTCACAATGGCTTATCTTTGACTTCTTACAACTGCTCTGCAATGACGTCAAAGCTTACGCATCTGCCCTAGTCCTAAAAATACAGCCATGATACATGTAGGCGATAAGGACAAAAGGAAAATAAAAAACAGAAATTTTAATGTTATGTTGATGAATATGAAATTTATTGAACTCGAGAGACAGGAATTATTTTTTTTTATTTTTTCACTGAAAATAGTTCAAAAAATCCTGTTCCAACTACAAATCATATCCACAATTTAATTTTTTTTATCTCAAGTATAGCTAAAAAAGTCAAACAATTTGTTTGGATGTTCGGTTACGTGAAAATATTAACTGCAATTTATATCTATACTTATAAATTAATAAATTTTGCAAATAAACTCCGAAAGGGGTGCACCAGAGTTCTTACTTACTCCTCTAACGATACACTAGATACAAGATGATGTCCGTAAACTATATTTACATTTCACTCGCATAGTAAGTATCGTACATTAAATTAAAAGTCTACTTTTATTTTCTATAAACAGCCATGAAATAGCAAAAACAAGAGTACGATGGCGTTTCCGGTTGGCGGATCTAAGTTACTGGCAACTTTTAATGAAACTGACAACAAGCAATCGTTTATTTATTTCATAAAACGTCATTACTGAATTATTCAATCAAAACTTGATTTAGATGACATAAAAGAAATAAGTTGTGATAACCAATTAAGAAGGGAAATGTGCAAATTATTTTTGTCATTCACCGATCTTAATATTGACGGAAGCTTCTAGAACATCATATAGCATCGAGCCAGATGTTAAAAAGAAAAACGAGACGATTATAGCTGCAGGAACATAAAAAAGCTTATGTGTGAATGGTCATTGAAATAATGGTAAATCATTGATAACACTATAAGTTGTGAATATATTTATATATCGAAAGACTATTACAAATATATACATGTATGTAGTAGGTTTTTCTAATAAATTTATCGGTAAAATTTGTATATATTCCTTACTGAGAGCATCGTGGCAACGAACCAGAAGTACAATTTGTACTTCGTAATAAACTTGCTTACTTGTAAAGAGAAGGTTAATGAATAAGGTGTTGTTCAAAAACAATTACAGATGTAAAATTTTGTGCTTTAATTTTTGCTAAACAATCTTTTGTATCAAATACTCGGCCAATTCATAGGGCGTTAAAAGTTAATTTTCCAAAGGTACTTAAGTCTTGGTTTATAAATATGTACATGTATGTACCTTATTGATATGTAAAAAAACGTAAAGTACATTATTTACATATCAGTAAGATACAAACATATTTATAAACCAAGACCCAAGTACCTATGAATTTTTAACCCCCCCTCCCCCAAATCAATTTATCAGTAAAATATGCATATTCACTGCTTTTATCCTTGAATAAGAGCATCTGAAGTACAATATCTATAACATAATATAACAGATTTCACAATAAACGTCAATCAATGAAAAATTTTGTTAATTTTTAAGTTTTTACAAGGGGGAGGGGTGGGGGTGGAGACGTACATCTACTTCATGCGAGATTTTGAACAAAGTATTTCTTCCTGCTATAAGCCTGTAGGCTGTCAGTAGAAACTACAAAATATTTTCTGTCGGTAGTAGACTAAGTATAGATTCAATTCCCCGCGCTTGCGCGGGATTTTATCTAGTTAAATATAAATATGCCAGGCCCGTAGCAATATATTCAACAGTGGTGGTGGGAGGACTTCCACAAAAAAAAAATTCAAATCATGGAAATTGCCAATATGCTCAATCTTACAGCAATAAAAAGTAGGGGTAGGGACAACAAGCATCTAAAGGATTTACTACAGCAAGTACTATATCCCCCCCCCCCCCCCCCCGCGTTCTACGGGCCTGTAAATATGCTGTATTGTAGATTTAATACTCACGTGTAATAGAACCATCCCGTTCACCTGAAAACAATCCAAAACTATGATTTAAATGTATTTCATACTTTAAAAACAATTATTTTAAAGTCATTTTACTTATATATATATATATATATATATATATATATAAAGTAACAACAAGTAAAGCAGATACTTTCCCATGAAAGAAGTTTTAAAGAATTAGCCGTACAACCTGATGCATGTCAAAAATGTTTTTAAAAACTTTCTTTGGTTTACACCTATTGGAGAAGCTTGACAATCTTCTTCACTTGCATTAAAAACCATAGAACGTCCTTATTCTTACCACTAGCTAGATACGAAAGATATGAACTTCGTTCAGGATCATGAAACAGTTTAAATTAGACATCAATTAAAGTTCAGTATCTGTAAAATACTTATTAACTGGGAAGTGAAACTCAAAGGCAATCTTTAAAGGCATTAAAATTTTTATTTTGAATTGCTTGACTTTATTCTACATACATTTCAGGAAATGTACAGAATTTGACTTAAGTCTAAATAGTTGCATACGATCCCAGTGTTAGATATCTGTAGAAAAATTATAATACATACATTGAAGCTCCGTCCTTTCCGGCTCACCTAAAACAAATTGATTTATATATATCGAACATAGTAGAGATTTTAAAAAAAGATGAAAATAACGAACAGTAATCGGTCAAAAAAATCTTAAAAACAATACAAATTTAAGAACAGGACATAAAACATTGACTTCTGGAAATTCCAGAGGTTATAATCAGATGCTTAGGGGGAGTAAACATCCTGTCGACCAGTCACACAGCATATTTGATTCATTCATTCATTCGCAGCACTGTTAAAGCTGCATAAGGGGAGTAACAGGAAATGTTTGCTGTGAAATCACACAAACATACACACACAAAAACACACACAACACACATAATTTCCTCACAATGTCAGAAAATGAAATTATTTACACGACCAGCTTTTCAAAATGGCGCCGAGTAAACATCGGTATCTTGAATGAGATAAAAACAACCAATAGATAGTTTTCAATAGTCCCAAATTATCAAGAGTTATTTCCCGTTGGCCGCCATATTGGTGATCAACATGTTCATATTCCTTCATTATTCAACCAACTTTAACTTTTTATACTGGCCATTGTGGGGTAGGAAACATTGTTTTTCTGAAAAATATACATTAATTTCGTTGAAGTCTCCTTCATTTCATAATTTTTATTCCATAAAAATTTCCCTCCAAATATTTCTCAAATTTGGTAAGACAAAGAGGAAAAATTACCAGGTTGACCACCAAGATGGCGAGCAAGGGAAATAACTCCGAGAGAAAATTTATCGTGTGAAAACTATCTATAAAGGCACGATTTTTGTGTATGATCAGTTCACTGCAAAGAAAAGAACCTGTATAATTAAGGTATAACTTACGAAAAGAAACAGTATTTCCAATTTATTTTTCAACAGACACCATCAAATTAGGATTACGACTCATGGGTATCCGAGGATAAACATAGACGAATAAATCACTGATTGCAATCCACTTGTCGACATGACGTCATCATGAAAAAAATGACGCATTTTATGTGCAGTGTGAGACGGCGAAAAATTTTATTATAAAACGGAATATTATTTACAGATGTTAGATAGATCATTAATACCAATGTGAAACCTTTGTTTAAAGCCATTATTCAATGATTATCGGGAGGATGTATTGAATTAATTTTATTGTGTGCTTTTGTATATAGAGTTGGCATGTTTTACATAGAGGTGTATCATTAAATCGCCTTTTCGTGAGGTCATACACTCAATCTTGACTATTCTTTTGAATAAAAAAAGAGAAAATATTCCTTAACCTGAAAAGTGCTACTTCTCTACACTGTACACAACTATAACTCACGTAAAAATATAAACTAGACTTTTTGATATCATAGACAGGGGCGAAGCTAGGGGGTGTTTAATGTGGAAGCAAATCAAGGCTGGGGGTTTGGGAGCCGCCTTAAGGCCCCCAATGGGACCAGGGAGAAGCCCTGGTGGAGCCCCGGGGGCGAAGCTCCCGGAAGTTGGCGAGTTTTTAGCATTTCTGACACTTAATTTTCAGTACTAGCATCCAGAAAAGATAGTTAAATTAAAAAAATCCTAGTTTCAACGTTTAAAATGCTTATTTCCTCATCATGAAACTAACGATAAAGAAGAAAGTATTGCCTGATTTAGGATGGGTTTTAATTCTTTGTTTGATTATTTCTTTTTTGTGAAAATGATGTGGAAGCATTTGCGTACTTGCGTACGCCTTGCTACGCGCCTGATAGACAACTGCTTCTTCAATAAAAATTGAACTCGGAAATTTTCGTATCTTGTGATTAGTCAACAACAAAATTACTTAAAAATCAATCTGATTCTACACAAAAGCACTCTGGAGTTAATATTAAAAAGATGCTGGAATTCCTTACCGACAACGTCTTATGTAGTCTTCAGGGACTAGATCTTCCAACAAACTGCCGATGGACTCTAATTCTGCTTCTTTATTGGCCTACTTCGTTGTTTTAATATTCATACGAGGCAGAATTTATTCAAAACTACACGACTTCTACATGAGAAGAAGAGGAAAACACTTGTTGTGGCCTTCAACTCGAACGTCAGATGTATCGACGACGTTTTATCAATTAACAGTAGGTACTTCCATTCATATGTCGACTCGATATGTCCCAGTGAACTTGAAATAAAGTCAACAGAGTTTGACACATCTGTTTCATATTTGGATGTTTTTTTTACTATAGACGATAAGGGCCAAATAACAACTTAATTGTATGACAAACAATAATTGTATGACAAACAAGATGATTTCGGCTTTTCCATCATCAACTTTCCTTATTTATGTAGTAATATTCCGCTTTCATCTGTTTATTGTATTTACGTCTCCAAACTTATACTCATGCTATCGATTTTTAAACTGAGGAAGGCTTTTAACAGATAAGTTGATGTTATGAGGATTTATACAACCTCATTTAAAGCCAGCGTTTCGTAAGCCTTGTTAACAAATATAATCTACCATTGGGTCGTATTTTGACTGATGTGTTTCAGACCAATTCTTAGGCCTTTGTTTTCGTATATACTAAATTTGACTTACGGAATGTTCTCTCTACCTGATCAATACATAGGGAGCCGTCACGTAGCTCAGTCGGTAGAGCGCTCGCTCCGTGATCGGAAGGCCGTGAGTTCGAATCTCGGCCGCGACTGACCTAATTCGATATAAAATAGGTAGCAACTGTTCCTTCACCAAGCGCTCGGCACTTTGAATTGAAAGCTAGTTGCTGGTCTTTCGGATGAGACCTTAAAAACTGAAGCCGCGTAACACGGCAGGCATTGGCACTATAAAGATCCCTCACTGCTCAATTTCTAAATTTGAAGCCCTTCACCGGTATATGATGACGTCTCTATATGAGTGAAAAATTCTAGAAGGGGATTTAAAACTACATACAATGTATCAATTAATCAATCAATAAATAGGGCTAACGGTGGGTGTGACAGGTCAACAGGGGATGCTTAATCCTCCTAGGCACCTGATTCCACATCTGGAATTTCCGGAGGTCCCTGTTTCATGCCCTGTTCACAGATCAGTATTGTTTGTAGATTTTTTTCAAAGAGCACAGATATATTTTATAGCAATTGTCATAGGAAATACTTGCTTTGGTTTTCTTCTATTGGAGAAACTTGGAAATCTTCTGTAATAAAATCTAGAAAATATAATACATATTGATTTTTTTTCTCTAAAAACATTTTGATGGGGAAAAAAAAACGTCATCATTTCCTTTAGCTAGATGTGACCTTAATACTTGTTATACTTGTAGAACTTGAGTTACTTTTTAATTCATTCCTTATATTTAATTTTCTAAGTGAAGTGAAGACATTTTCTTCTCAAAACAGATTTAAAATGTACAAAATTTAAATATGAAGTAAAGCGACTGACACATTTTTGACGCTTCATAATTTAATATAGGCAGCACAGACTTTATTCAATAAACATGTTTAGAGAATAAAACACACTAAAATCCATATCTTATCTCATAACAGTCCGAGTGGCCTCACATCAGTCCTCGGGCTGTACATAATTCTATTTATCGTATATTCAAATTATTTATATGTTAATTCACATGCATTAAGTCATTTAAGAATATCTCGTGCATGCATACGTCATATTTTTTTAATATCTAGAAGAGCCGATTTCATGTCATTATAAAACACATTAAGACCACAAATTTTAGTAGATGAATTGTTTAACATATACAGTTGTATATTTTTAAATCGTGTAAATTAAATTTGTTTGCGTTTGATATGCCATTTTTTTGCCTACCGGTCTAATACGTGACAAACATTTTTAGACAAATGTTCCCCCTTGTAAAAATTCCCTTTGGGAAGATACGTTATGCAGCAAAACTTTCTTTGCATTTTCTGCACTGAATTAAGCAAATCTTCCCTCTAGCAGAAATGCCATTTTGCAAATACGGGAAATATCAACTATGACATCATACAAACTAAAACTTCTTAAGAAATACCACAAAATAATTATTTGCGATTTTAAACTGTATGAGAGCATTAACCTACATCAAAACTTACTATAAAATACTTTTTATCGTTAGTTTAATCCCACGTTGCAAGGTGCAAATAAGTCACTGAACCTTTCGGTTTGATGTCATTCAGTAAAACGTGTTTGTATGCAGTGACAGATGGATCAAGTAGCCTACTATTTTCACAACGAATAATGTATTTTATAATTAAATGACATATTATTTGCAGATATTTAAGAGGTCCTTAACTTGGATGTGATGTCTTGTTTTATGATTTTATTCATATATTTTCAGTATATATTACCTAGTTAACTATTATTGCCGTGCATTTGTATGCAGGTGCATTGGAGGGAAATGTAAGGGTTCTAATATATTTTTTTTCATTTTGTAAAACAAAAGTGCAAATAAAAAAAGACAAATTACAATTAAAAAAATGAAACGACTTGCCTCGGTTCACATCTAATGAAGAGGGTTGGGAATCTCCTTCATTTGAATGAACAAAAATGTAATAGATTAATACAAAAGTTTTCTTATTTAAAAGTAATTGATAAACTTTTAAGACTTGTTTTCTCCCTCCAAATAATAAATAATTCTCGATAAAAATGAATTTAAAAACCATTTGATGGGCAAGAAAACGTCATCATTAGAACTTCCAGTAGAGGAATATGAGATAAGGTCAGATACCTGTATTTGCAGAAAAATTATAATACATACTTAGATTCTCCGTTTCTTCCAGCTCACCTAAAACAAATGTTTATTTTAAACTTTTGATACATCCAGTACGACAAAAAAAAAACAAAAAACAAAAAACAAATGTCTATTGTTGTGAGGTGTGTTGTAATTGAAATATGTTTGTATTGTTTCATCGTGTATATTAAGTAACGTAAAGAAACTTCTGGAACATTCCAGAGTGATCAACATGTATGGTCATTTTTCTGGAACATTCTTGAATTTCGTGTATGCCCAGAATGTTCCAGTAACATCTTGTATTTACAATTTCTACAATTTTCTAGATTTGTGTTAATGTATAAACACTGTCAATTGTATGCATGGGTAAGACTGTCGTTCAAGAAGACTGGCGTTCGGAGTACAAAGAGACTTGGATAGGATACTCTCACTGGGACATTGTGTGTACATTGTGTGTAGTAACAGACACTCTGTTGTACGTATGTTTGGATTCTTGCTGTAATTTTGTAAGTTACTTCTTAAATTTTATATATTACTGTAAATAAATTATTGTTAAGTTTAAACTGTGTGATTTATTTTTGCTGGCATTTCGGGTTATTCTGACCCATAACACTATTTTGAACTTTTAATACATCCAGTATGACAAAATGTTTGAATTTACCTGAACAGCTGAAATATATAAGAAATGATTTTGATTAAAAGCCTTGAAACCTTTTTTGAAAGAAAAAAAAACTTAATGAGTAGTAAATGACACTAACTGAATAAAAAAACCCAAACAATTCAGTAAAATGATGTCATTATCACGCTTTCTACACAATAGGTTTTTATCTCTATAAATATGTAATATATTAGGATCTGCAGTTATTCGTATATCGCCATTTATGTCTCCCTGTAGGCGTCTTGCATAAGTGAGAGGTTCTCGAAGGGAGGTAAAACAACAATTAATCAATCAACCATTTCGGCTTTTTTATTCTGTTTACCCTACTATTTCAGGAATAGCTTTATAGGCATATTTGGGCTAGAGTCGCGTACAAGATCTTTACTAACCATTATGCTCCCGTTGATTTATCTTTGATACTTTTCTTCTGAATATGAAGATGAGAACAATAACGACAACAAAACAGATTAACACTGGAAGTGCTATTAGATATACAGGAATCCCTTCCGTGGTCTGTTTGATTGTCCGGGATCCTTGCAATTTATTGAACCTGCATAGAGTTAATATAAAACTTTAAAAACAAAAATTGTCTCCATAAAACATCTATGGAAACATCTTAAAGTAATTCATAAACGTATTACACTTTGCAATCCTAATCCATAATGCATGTATGAACCACTTTGTGGCTGTGCGTGTTTTTAAATTTTACCTTATTCCTTAATCTTTTCAAAAAGCGATTCGATCCAAAGACTAAAATATTAAATAAATTTTAAATAAAAACCTTGTTTGAAGAATAACTTGTATTATTCAACGACCCCCCCCCCCCCCCCCAGCATCTTTGGAATTCTGCGTACGATTAATTTTTAATCCAAGGCAGGCTACTAACAAATTCTATGATTATGATCTTTATTGCAAATACAATCTATATCTTTCGGCCGTATTCTGGCTGTCATGTTTCATACCAATTGTTAAACTATTGTTTGTATAGTAGTATTAACTACGGTTTTTTGATCAATAATGTCTCATGGCAGATGTGACTGGTCGAAAAGGGATTCTTACTCCTCCTAGACATCGGATCCCACGTCCGGTGTTTCCAGGGGTCCGTGATTTTGTTTTTAAACTTACTGTTCGCTATCTTCATCATTTCATTTTAGCTCCTCCGTCTCCAATCCACTGATTTTTTAGATTTTTTTTTTATTTCAAGTTTAAAAAACATTGATAATTTTCTTGACCATAGGAACCGGGGGAGAGGCACGGGGAACGTGCCCCAATAATTCTGCTTATTTGTAATAATATATTATAAGAAAAAAACCCAACTAAATTATCGATAAAACGTCTGATGACATTACTTTACTTTTGATTTATTGAATTCATTTGATGGAAAGATCTTACCTCTCTTTCAGACATTCCTTGTCAGATGTAAAACAGCCGATCGCTAAACTCATGCAGTTTGGATCTAAAAAATAATTTAATTCTATATATGACTGAAAGTATACATTTGATATTTTCCCAATGATTATTTGCTCCTCAAAATTAAAAAAAAAATCAATTTAAGCAATGCAAAGGAGTATTAGGAACAAGAAAAAGCGACAATTCAAATGTTTCACACCCATTCTAGCAACATGATTTACAATTGAACTTTAACTTTCAAATAGTGACATCAACTGTTGATTTTTATTTTAGTCTACTAGTTTAACTTTATTTTGTACTCTTATTTTCATGCTTACATGTATATAACTCATTGCTATAATACGGTTTTTCTGGACATCCATTGGTGAAGTTCTGACATTTAACATGATTTAGGATCCCATCAGCCGCAAGCTCAACACAATTTCCTGTAAGAAATTCCAAAAAACATTTTTTTAAACAATGGGTTTGTAAAAAATGAATTGTAAACGTTTTGCTATAAAGTTCTTCAAATATAGTTATCGGTTTTAACAGTATCTAAAAATAAGTTTAGCAATAAATATACAAAAGAGCAAAACACACTGTCATAGAAATTTTATGTACTATTTCTAATTAATTCACTGGTAGAAAAAAGTCAAATTTATCAAAGGAGAACTGTACATGTATGTAGTACCCGTGTGAATAAGAATGCGTTTCTTGGTGTAACAAAATTCAATAAGTGTCGAATGATATTTGTCAGGAGCGCAGTGATATCCATGTGTTTTGTTGCACTGACGCCTTTCAGCGGCCACTTCCCATTCCGATTGGTTCATCGGACATTCTTCCACTCGGTACACACCGAAGGAATAACTGTATTCTGGGAGCTTTACGAAATATAAGAAATAATTGTCCAGTAATCTATCTAATTCTTGTTTCACTACTGCATTGTGTAAGACAGAAGGATACATGGTTTTCATATTGCACTTCAATAGCTTAACGCCAAATTTTTTACATCCATCTGATATACTTTTTATCCATTCAGACAAAGTGTCAAGGTCTTCTTTTTCTTAATTGGCCCATCGTCTGGCGTAATCTTCCACAAAATTCATAACATTTATGAAATTATGACGCAAGTTTAAGATCGGGTTTCCCAAAATTTTGGCCTTATTATAATAAGTGATTTAAGGTACTCATTATTAGCCCCTACCGCAGGAACCGAAGAGGACTATAGGTTTCCTCTGCATCTGTCAGTCCGTCTGTCCCTCGATCTGTCTGTCTGTCATTCTGTCCCACTTGGTTTTCCGTACTTTTTTTTCTAAACGCTTGCAGATATTGAGCTGATTTTTGGTATGTAAATGTATCTTGATGAGTTACAGATTAAGTTTGCATTTCGTTCCGCTTCAATGATTTTAACAAAATTACGACCTTTTCAACTTTAAGGGGTTTCCGCAATTTTTTTGCTGGTGACGTGTCCAGCAGGACTATAATTGTAGGGTTAAGAAGATTATGAACACTTTGGAACACGCATATATCAGATATTCGATGTCTAGGCACAGTAGAATTTTTTGTAATTAAAAAGTTTGGAAGCAATTGTCGATGTGTATAAGAAATACAAGGTGTGGACTTCAACTTGAAAAATATGGTGGAATACAAGACTGGACCCTTTTTTGATTAAGAATATTACTTATCTTAAGTGCGTCAATTTCTTTGTTGGCATATTGAAGATTAAGGAACAAACGGATTGTTTGAACAGTAGTTTATTTCGTGAAACGTGGCATTGTAAAGAGGCTATGATTTGCAATATCTATAATCACAGATCCGAGCCTGTATTCTGGTGTCGAAGAATCCAAATATGGACTTTCCTTGACTTTTACAAATAGACTATTTAAAACATTCAAAAGGACAGAGTAAAGTTTGGTGCAAATGTGATGAAGGCCTTACTGATAATTTACATAAGGTAGTAGTGAATCAAAGGAGACATCGTGTATATAATACGATGTCCTTGACTACGCTTACGTAGTGTACTGTTAAAAAGTCCCATGTAAATAGAACCAAAAATAAAGTTGATTTTTTTATTATTACGTACCTTTTCATTATCCAACATCATCGACGATGACAATGCTGCTTTTGGTGATATCATTCTCAAAGATATACACACATATACAAATGTACATCTTAACAGAATACAATTCAACATATTTAACAAATCGAAAGCTTCATCAAAATCGGTCAACTGGCATACGTCAGTGGTACCAATGGATTCTTATGGATAAAGTGTCTAAATGAAAAATGCAGTATAATACAAAAAGCACTCAGTATATAGATTAATTTGGTTGTAACATTTCAAAACGAATTTAGAATAAAGACAATATCATTATTATTACTTGTAACTATATTGATATTATATTAGTATTACGATCAATGTTGCTTCTCAAATTATATACAGCTGGATTCTTTTTAACATGAACACTTGGAGATATCAGTGAACAAATCCAAATAAAGTTAGTGGATTTTTTTACTTTACAAATTTCCTTATTTGTGAAATTATAATAACAAACAACGAAAAAACTGTAAATTCCGTTGTAAAGACTTGTTTGCTTTGGGTTATTTTGCTAAATTTGTAAATTATCATCAACAAAATGTTGTTGCACACATTTTGCAATTTTCAGAATCGCAAGATGCCTATTGACAGAAAATAAGCTCAATAAATAACACTCTATAGTCTCCTCCATCTCCAAAATTAAAATGCATAATCAGAATACTGTTCTTGGCACTACATTCGGGTAACTAGTTCTTATAAGGCACTAAATCAGTACGTAAATTTTATCGTTTTGTCGAAACTGTGTCCGGTGTGGTCATCCGAGGTCTTCTGAAAATGAATATTTATAATTTTTTTTAATTAACTGTATGTGAAATGCAATGTATCAATTTGCATTACATTATCAAAAATATGCAAATCAATGACCATATTACTTAGATATGAAAGTCTGCCTTCTTTTCATCATTTAAATGGAATTTTAATAGGCAATAAAACACAACCTTAAAGAATATCTCAACACTTTTATGATTTGTTCGCCAACAATAACTAATATACCCAGTAATACGAAACATATAGCTGGGATTGTTGATCACAGTGGTATCAATCTTTTTTAACATGGTGTACTGCTTGATGTATGGAATTACAATGGGCACTAATTGTGCTCCTTTAAAACTGACCTGTTTTTATATTCCTATGAAGCAGAATTTATTTAAAAACTTCTACAAGAAAACACTTGCTGTGGCCTTCAACTCGACATTTAGATATATGGACGATGTATTATCAATTAACAATAATTACCTTCATTCATATGTCAATTTGATATATCCCAGTGAACTTGAAATAAAAGACGCCACAGAGTCTGTCGCATCTATTTTATATTTGGATGTTTTACTGACTAAAGAGGATAAGGGCCAACTAACAACTACATTGTATGACAAACAAGATGACTTCAACTTTTCCAGTGTCAACTTTCCTTATTTATGTAGTAATATTTCTCTATCACCTTCATATGATGTTTACGTCTCCCAACTTATTCGGTACTCAAAATCATGCTCCAAGTACGATCAAAACCGAGGCAGGCTACTGACAGATAAGTTGATGTTACAAGGATTTCAACATCCTCGTTTTAAGTCGGCATTTTGTAAATTCTATGGTCGTAAGCAAAAATATCCCATCGTTTGGTCGTATTTTGGCTGACTTGTTTCATATCAATGGTTAGGCCTATGTTTGACTACGGAATGTTCCCTCTACCTGATCAATATATAGGGATCACGGCGGGTTTGTCCGGTCAACAGGGGGTGCATAGGTACCTGATCCCACCTCTGGAATTTCAAGGGGTTCGTGGTTCATGCCTTCCTCACAGAAATATATTGTTTATAGATTTTTTGACATCGATCATTGTTTGTTATATTCAACCTTTTTATCCCAATAATTTTTCGACTAATTGGTTCAAAAGTCACCATCCAACAAACATCTTCAATCATTTGTTTTGTCGCATTTTGTCAGATAATACATGGACATTTTCCATTTTACATTCCTTTTTAAAGGAAAAGAGTTTTTAAAGGAAAAGTTGTTAAAATGAATCGGTCTTTATTTGAAATTTGTTAGGTAAGGATTTTAAATTGAAATAGCCATGCAAATTCTCAAGAATCATAAGTCTTGTTTTGTTTCAACATGCAAAAATAAAACATATTACCTTCTTCAAATGACAGGTGAAGCCTTTGATTCTGATTATAATATATTCATACGTTGGAATTGCTCCTATTTCCTAATCATTCACAAATGGAAGAGGAATTAAGAGAAACTTGAATTCACTCTAAAGGTTCATACATCAACAAATCCGTTTTGAATAAAAGAAGGAAAGAAATTTTATGCAACTTTTTAAGAAAAAAATATTTCCGTTTAAGTCCTAAAGTACAAGTTATTATCAACCCTGACAACTTTAATATAAAGTAATTTTTATAACTTCCCCGTTTAATGTACAAAGGTACACAGTCACTGGATCAATAAGCATTTCATTTTTATGTGTTTTAAATGTTATGTCATCATTAATGCCAAGTTAAGTGCAATAAAATCTATTTATCACGTATCAAGTTTTATTCTTAATTTAGAGCCTAAGTATTTATAGAATATTGTCCTTTGCTCTGCAACAAAAATATTAACTGGAAATGTTGTTTTAGTGCATGAAAAGGGTATGTTTTCCAGGTCATGACAAATTGTCTTATAATGATACACATGCAAAACATCACAAACCTTTTAAATCGAAGAAAGGTTCTTATGCGATCGGGTGTTCTCGCCAATTTGATAATATTTTCACTCTTAATTATCTTTCGGTCTTAATGGACTACTTTAAAGCGTACCAGAGATACTAAAATAGGGCACTTTGTTAGTTCTGTTTACCCCTACACCTACTGCAATTTTAGACTCTTTCAATGAAATTCAGTACAAAAGTAGATTTCATGTCCTTTCTTGGTAAATATATATAATTTCTTCAAAATCGAAAGTAGAATAGGTTCATGTAATGTTTGTCCGTTAAAACGTTTCAACATAATACGTTTTGTTACTTTATTCAACAATATCTATTAATAAATTGTAATGAAACTGGTGTGTTAAATTATAACGCTTAAAAAGTACTCTTAGGATCCTACCTGATCATTCAAATCATTCAGTGTACGTTGAATACGATAAAGAATGTACACCATACAAAAACACATATTGATCAGGGACGTTTATGTAACATGTTAAAACACGAGAAGATAAAGGTATACATTTTTTGTATGGATTTAAATAGGACACTATAGATAAAATTATCTGCATCATATCTCAATGCATTTAAACTTCATTGGTTAGACGGGACAATTAAGCGATGGTTAGTGTGGACGATCACAAAATAACTCAAATAAAATCTGGTAAAATCCATCCTTTCCAGCTCTTACCCCAAATAAAACATGGAAGAGGGAAGAGGCAGAACTTCCATAAATTATACATGAAAAGAAAGATCGAACAGAGAGGATATGGTGATGAAAGAAATTTTGAAAGTACGAGAGAAAACATTACATGCTTATGAAGGACCTTAGAAATAGCTACAGGTCTACGAGTTCTACTGACGCATGAAAGGAGGGTAATCTAATGTTAATTATGATTGAACTGCCTCAATTTACAGTATGTGAGTATCCACCTTAGAGCTGAAAGATGTAGTGTAAAATGGAGGTGTGGAGCAGATAAAATAAATTAATGGTTTGGTCCGAAGAGCTTCGAGACTTGCCCGATTGAAGTGAATCAACTTTTTTGCACGCTGCGCATGCTCAACCGTGTAAATCATGTTGCTCAGTATGGAAACTTTTCTTAAGGCGTAAGTAACGTTGCCTTTTCTAAAATGCTCTTTTTTACAAAGCAGAACAGCACGAAATAGGAGGTGGACATCAAAATTATACTAAGAAGTGTATTAAAAACAACAACACATTTTACCAGCTTGAAAGATCGATGATAAAATGCATAAAAATTTCACCATGATAGCCTTGTATTGGGTGTTATGACCTCAACCTTGACAAGTACTAGCAAAAACACTTGCTAACAAACAAAAAAATACCAGATGTGATCAGTTTCAAAAGATTTGTATTCACGTGAGTCAAATATTGACACATGATGAAAAATGAAACAAAGAACGCGGAATGCAATTCTACAATTAAGTTATTCACTGACCCAGGGTGTATTTTAGCGCATGTGAACACGTAAGTATTTTTACTCATCTATTCAGTCTAGGTGCAAATTAACTTTTACATATGAGTATATAATTTACTCCTGATGTATTTTCAGTCATGTTAACGCGTAGCAAGATTTACTCAAGAAAAAATATTGAAAAATATAGCATCAACGATTTCATTTTTAAAAAAATGCATTTTTATATTAAAAAGAAGAGTGACCATGTGTTGTATTATTTAAGTCATATTATTATTTTAAATAGCATTCAAAAGGGAAATGACAATGTTCTTCTTGTATATGGGAGGAACACAGAGTTAAAGAGCAGGTAGAAAGCCTAAGGAAACATTTTCAAAAACTTTGAAATTAAAGACTTTAAACTGATTTACATATAGTTTGAGAGTGCATGTGAGCTCATCGCAAAATTTGTATTTTCACACCAAGAGTATAATTTGCATCCATCTAAAATTTACACCTCGAAGTAAATGAGCGCGTGTGAACGGGGTTTAAGATCATCTAAACAAAACACCAACATGTCTGTTGAAACTTTTGCTGCAAATGACAGTAATAAAGGCATATTCGAAGAAATGGAGCATTGAAGATTGGGTTATCATATCAATTTACTAGAAATATTACGATTGTATGTTTGACTCTTCATAACTTACCTAATTTTAACAACCGCACAACTATGAAGAAGCATGTTCAATACAACTGTTTAGCAATGAGTCATTCAAAACGTAGCAGATGTTTGAAAAAAAAAAATCAATATATAAATATAGTTGAGCGGTTGTTAAATTTAGGTAAGTTATGAAGAATTAAACATACAATCACAATATTTCTAACAAATTGATATGATAACCCAATTCTTTAGAGGCATTTAACTATTGTTATCGTCGCCCGTG